CGGGGGATTTTTGGGGAATCACTCACCGGATTGTCAGCAGTTGCCACCGGAATTCCCCCGACATCGCGAGTTTTCTGGGTTATTAACGGCAATTGATTGGGAATTGGCTTGTTCAGAGGGTATTTTGTGTGTCCTGGGGTGCGAGGGCCCCTATCAGGCCTTTACACACGGCTTAATACGTACATGATGCAGCCGTGATACGTTCGTGGGTGCCCCAAAAATATCGACGTCCATGGCCGCTGCGCTCGCCTCTTCTCCCTCTCTCCTCTTGATTTCTCTTCTTTTGTGCCTGTTCCACCCTCCCCTGATCCCTTCTGCTAGGTTTTTACGGTAATTTGATAATTGTTGCTACGATGGACTAAACATTTCGATAACTCGACTTCACACACATGTCAGTCACATGACGAGCAAAACCGGGGGTTGGGGGGATTTAAAAAACCGAAATGTTCGTTTTGACTCGGGATCTTTTTGACGGAATTTCGAGCCGTTTTCGGGATTTTGGGGGCACTTTTTTTTTTATAGAGCTCCTCGAGTGTCGAGCGGCGCGCTAGGGGGGCTACACAAATCGATATCCTGGTAAATCGCCAGCCTCCCCTGTAGGCTAAACCTCGGGCTTGCCGAGTGTGTGGCTCGTTCTCCAAGCAACTTCTCACTCTTTTTTTTTTTTTTTCAATTATTACCTGCGTACCACGTCTTGCCAACACAACCGTACACTTACACAAGGATTTGATGGTGGTGTGGGTCAATGGGGTATCAGTTTTACGCGAGACGGGGTGCAAGGGTCCTCCGGAGTTTTTTTGTCGGGCTCCGGACACTTCGGGGGTGGGTGCACTGGCTTTTCGGTGGGATTTCGCCTCGGGTTTTCGGGGCTTTGGGTGTCGTTTATTGTTCGGTTCAGTCACTTCACTCGTTTACGATGGAGATGGAACAGAACACTGGGGACTCTGGCGTCAATCCGAGAACTCTTTATGAGGTTTTTTTTTCGGTTTTTCGGGCGATGGAGTTTCCGGGGGCGGATTGGGGACGGGGGGACTAGTTGGGGG